TAATCTACGTAATAAAAAAGTGGAGTTGATGCTTGTTAATTGGAAACATCATCGAGACCCAAATTATACTTGGGAAAATAAGAATGAGATAAGAACGAAATATCCCCATTTGTTTTAATCCTTTTGATTTCGAGGACGAAATCCTCAAAAGGAGGAGGTATTTGTAACATACACGTTAATAACCTTGTTCGATTATCGTGTTTTGTAAAGCTTCTTAGCTTAAAATGAATAATATTATATGTTTTTGAGCGTTGAGTTCTAACAAGATAGTTTTTACGAGAATTAAAGTAAAACTATGTTTAGAATCACCAGAAATGTATTGGAAGTCTTATGAGATTCCAATCAAAAGTCAATATTGAAATTAACGAAAATATAAAGTTGGAAATAAATACAAGTAATGTTATTGAAAGTTGTAGATAATTTCGTTAGAAACATTTAGGCGAAAACCTCATCGAAATCCGAGTTATAACGAAGAAGTTATAATCAATCGAAGATCCGCGACAAAACCGGCAAAACACTATTTAGCGTAAAAAGTGAGTTTTCAATAACTACTTTTTAGCTTTAGTGATCTAAATTAAAGTCGTAGTATTCGTTAAACCGAGAATTTTCATAAAAAGAACGTCCAAATCTGACTTCGTATGATGAAACTATGATTTTTCTAAGTTTCAGTATAGCAGTATACAGCTAAAAACTCGAAATAAAGATCGAGTGATTTTTAGCCAACACAACCTAAACGAGAATCGAAGGTCTCGTCAATAGTAGTACAACGGTAAAAAGACAGACGAAAACGGACATCAGATGAAGAAGTTATGAATTTTTAACGGATTTTCCTATCCCGGTCTGTTAAAAATAAAAATATTAAAAATAAATCAAAATTAACTGATGGAGTCTAAACGAAAGTTGTAGAGTATAATCTCGCCTATGCATGCATATAAAGAACGTCAAAAACAGAGCTTGTATGCAAAAGATATGAATTTTTTAAGGTTAGGGCACAAAATCCAAGATTTTTCGCATGCATGCAAGGCCTAGAATCAGCCACGTCATCCGGATCTTCGCATGCTGCCCTGTGTCCGAAGCTGCTGACTCATCCGATGTGCGGCCCATTCCGAGACCGATGTGTGTCTTCATGGTGGAGGCGTCCAAAGCGAGCCACCTGGCCCCTCGCATGCGAGCCACGTACCCCTCCCCCTCGCCTCGCATCTGCCTCGTTTCTCTCTTCTCTCTTCGGTCCGAGCCCTCGCACACTATATAAGGGAGGTACGAACCCTCCCGGTTTTGGTTGGTATTTTCCATACTTTTTCACACTAAACTTTATTTTAAGCCCCTTTTTAACCCCCTGAAGCCCCGGGATCATATCTAACATCTGAAAAACGTCCCGAAGTGCCCGAAGACTCCGAGAAATTTATCTTTTCGGTTTGAAGCTCAACCCTCGCAAGGCCCGGTTTTCAATAAAAACTCCCGGTTTTTAATAAAGCTCCCGGTTTTCATCGAAGAAAATTATTTATAGGAACGAAGTGCTGCCCAAATTACTATTTTAACCTCCGGTTATTTCACGGTGAGTTCAAATTATAGGAACAACTGTATGTTATGTGTTATATGTTCAATATGTTTTCCTGTGTTTTTATGAAAATGTGCTATACCTTTGACTTGAAGTGAATGACTAAGCATCACTTGGGTACTGGTATGTAGCCTTTGACCATGAAGTGTATGAGTAAGCATCACTTTGGCACTGGCAGAATGCTGGATAGGGCTGAAAGCCTATAAATTCTAGCAAAATGTTTATTCATAAATAGTTTATTTTCTGTGCCACTTGGGCTAAAGTCTTATTGATGTATATCAAGTTGAAATTGTTGTATCTCATTGATTGTAAATCTTTAAATCATATTATTTGTTAATATGGAAAGCATGACATATGATACTCATCTGCCTTTGTTGTTCTTTGTTCCTCTTTGCTTCTGTCATATTGGTATATATATGGTATAACGTTATATTGTATCTATTTTTGAACTCACAAAGCGTCACCGCTTATCCCTCTCAGTGTTTAACTATTGCAGGTAATAAGGATCCAATATAGACACATACTGTTGGAAGATTTAGAATAGTTAATAATATTACTTTTGTTTTTAGTGATCGTGTATGTATAAAATTATAATTTCCTGGGTTGTTATGTAATATACTAAAACTTAGTCGGTTTGTATCCAGTCTTTTGTAATTAAACTATCAATGTAAAATATTGTTTATAAATATGCATGTAGCATGTTTTGGAGTAATATGATGTAATTTTAGAGAGGGGTTCTCTCATAAAACATTTTAAAATTGCAAGGGTTTAATCTTTTAATAAATTAAACTTTTAATTTAATTAAATTTAAACTTTTTTATGGATTTATTAATTATCTTTTAATTAATCATTTAACTAAACTAATAATAAGATCCATAAGGATATATTTTTAAACTTTTCAAAAAATACCAAATATTATTTGACATTAGTTATTAAGTTCAATTAATATCTAGATTTATTATTTATACAGTTAAAAAATCAATCATATTAATCACAAAACAATTAATCAAGTCAAATAATTATCTCCTAACTTCTAGGATTTTATATTATCATCAAAGATACACCAAAATTGGATTTGGGGGATAATTATAGCAAGAAATCATCAAATAAAAGCAGATTAGGCAGAAAAAACACAAAATCCCGGATCAGGCCTGTGCTCACGACATGAGCAAGCATGCTCACGACGTGAGCTGCGACAATTGCAAAAACATGTTTCTTTGATTTCTAAAATCGATTCACCAATGTGAAAATATATGAAAGAGAACCCTAGGCACTGATACTACTGTTGGGTTTTTGGGGTTACGACTACAATGCCTTAAGCGGAAAACAATCAAACAATTCTACTGATTAGGACACATGCTACCTAATTGGATCTATGTCTTTTACATATATCAACATACTATTAATGGATAAATACAAAAATTTTATATGAACAAACTAATTCATAAGACAAGAAAACCAACCTTTAAGATTGTTATTGTAAACAACCTTGATTTTTTCTTTCAAACCTGTGGTAGCAAGCGCCACAAGTTTCGCGCCTCTAATGGTTCACACCCAAGGCAAGCAACTTAGGATTATGGAGAGAGGAGAAGAGAATTTCGGCCAGAAATCTTCCCAAGGAGTTGGACACGAAATTCTGAGGGTTTAATTCCCTTTATATAAGTGAGGTAGCTTATGGTCAAAGCTAGGGTTTAAGGGTGGAAACCCTAATCCCTTTGCTTGGTGACCAAGCAACTTATGAGCCTCCCATCTAGGAATCATTGGAAGAAAATTCTAGTCCCTTCCTAAAAGTTTTTGTCCAACCCATTCAAGGAGTTTCTAGAGCCTCTTTCCTCAACTATCAATAAATTATCAAATAGCCCCTGCACTTTTAATTAATTCAATTAATTCCAATTAATTTCTGACTAACTATTAATTAAATATTATAATTTCTAATTAATATATTATTCTCATAATATATTAACAATTTATATTTTCTAATTTATTAATCAAATAATAAATTATCTCTCTCTCCAATATAATTATGTCCAATTGCTAGCTTTGAGGGCAACCCAAAAGGATTGTGCTACTATCGATTCAAGTATATACCAATTATAGTTATGGGCTTAGACACCTAATCCAACAGAGATGCAACTGACATCAGAGGTATACAGTAGCAAGAAGGCTCAATTGTGGTTTCTAGAAAAAAATAAATGAAAAAGAAGAAGGTGATGTAGGGCGACGACGACACTGGTAGATTGTTGTTAAAGGGAAGAAAAGGGATGATAGGGCATCAATACTTGTAGATAACTAGAAAAGAAACGGATATGAGATAGATCAACGATCAAGAGGCGACATAATCACATATGGGTGGGGGAGCTGTAGTGGCCGCCGATATATAAATATAGAAGTGATCGTCGAGAGGTAGTTGTGGCTTGTGGCAGGGCTGACCGAGACTATTCAGATGCCGAGAAAAAAAATATTCTAGGGTTTGTTTATATTTTAGGCTCTTGATATCATGTTAACTAATTAAACTAATAAAAATCACATTCGAATTTGTGGTGTTTTTCATATGTATAGTAAGTAATAAAGATACATAATTATCCTTTATATATGTGCAATGTAAAGAAAAAGCTAAAGTTTATATTAATTTGACTTATATGTAATAATAAAATGATTGTATAGGTTGAGTTGGACTATAAATCGAAATAGTTAGGACAATTTGAAATCATTTAAAATAAGTAGATATATGATTGAAAATTTTCATCTAAGTATGCCAATTTAAAGTATCCACAATGCATGTTTCAATAATAGAGTTGAATGATATAACATGCCTAATTGAAATTCGATGTATCAAACTCTACCATCATGAGCTATCATGTTGGCATTCTATGACTATTGAACTTTTCAATGGGAAAAGGGAACCTTTTAACTATTGAATATCTCATATATTAGATTTTATAAATATGTTTCATTGAATTTTATAGAATCCAATGTATTATAGAAAAAATTTGAAAGAGTTGTATAGAGTGTAGAATGATAGTGTAACAACCAATTAAAATCTAATGAGTTCACTTTATTGTGGATGACGTAAATAATTACAATTATTAATTTGGAAATGTCCATCTTTTTTTATCACAAGACGTAATCACGGAATTGAGTGTTATTATACAATTTCATGTATGTTATAGGTTAGTTTGACTCAATTTTTTCATTATAAAGACTTGTGAAAGACATTTGTAAAGGGTATTATGCATAAGGTAGATGGTATTGTGCATAAGGTAGATGGTACTTGAGCATGTTTAAAATAATGCTTACGGACAAGTTATCCCAAATACACATTCATATGATGATCATGTGTGTCTATAAGATGAAATCTTCCTTAAACATTATTAATTTTGTTTTTGGAAAATCCCAAAATATATTCAGGGAAACGGGTTATTCTAGTAATACATCAAACAATATCCCAACACTAAGTTCAGAAGCTCAAGCAAGCAATATTTCGCATGATATATCTCTAAAACACTATCACCCGTCTATATTCCATGTGCAGATGCAAACTAAGCTATTTTTTGTGTATATACGACAATCTCCATAAAATGTAGCTCAATGTCTCTTCTCCCTTTCTAGGCTTCCAAATCATGGTGTGCATTTGCAGCCTCTCTGGAGCGTTCCCTTTCCATCATCGCGAAAAATGCATGTGGCGCCCAACCTATATATATATATATATATATATATATATATATATATATATATATATATATATATATATATATATATATATATATATATATATATATATATATATATATATATATATGTGTGTGTGTGTGTGTGTGTGTATGTGTGTGTGTGTGTTTAAAGTTAAAATGGTCATTTTGCATACATTTAGACGATGAAAATAAACAATTGACAAAAAGGAGGTCACACAAAGTACCATTTTCGTGATTCGGGAATGGGAAGAACTGTAAGTAGCAAAATGCAGCAACGATCGTTCCTGTATATATAAAAAGATAGGACTAATTGGAATATGTTACATACTATTTTTTAGGGTGGTTTATTTTTTAAATAATTATACCAACTTTTCATGGTAAATCGTTTTTCCTTGTGAAAGCACAAAAAGAACATTATAATATGCAATAAGAAACATTTTAAATCTTTTTTAATCACAAAATTGAACAGTATTAGTGGCAGTTCTAGGACATATAACCACGTGGTTTCCTATTTTAATGAAACTCATAAAAATGAAAAGGTAAAAAAAATACTAACAGTAGGTCGGGTTGTATGTAGTGTTGTGAAAGTCTGACAACTTGATCGAGTACTCAATGAGTTAGTTAGACTCAACCCTCTACTCATGCGAGTTTTGCCTATACTTGATCAAGAAAATCGAAAATCTTTCAAACTCAATCAAATTTAGACCGATTTAACCTAAAAAACCAATCTTTCTTTCAACCAAAGCAACATTAAACCAATAAAGACGTTCAACATGCAAAAATAATATTTAAATTACTAAAACCGGTTTAAACTTAAAATAAACCAAGTCTAGGATTTTAATCATTAACTTTTACTCAATAACTTCACGTAACAGTTGGAGTTGAAGGTGGAAAACTTAATTACTTAACAATCCATAATAAATTTCTCATAATCATTTTTTATAAGTAACAAAAATCACATAGGTTTTACTTCACTGTCGATATGGGATAGGTATAGCTCAACTTATAAAAATGGTTAATCCAAAAAATTGATCACACACTTTGATCCAACACTATAAAGATAGGTCCTATGTGTTTTGAAAGATAGTTCCTAAATTTATTCCTAATTCACCATAAGCTTTAAAAAATAAGATAGATAATAGGACTCACCTATACCATGTATTTAACTTCGCCCTTGCAATAACGTGAAATAAAAATCATTTTAAATCCTTTTAATTTGTGTTGTTTGGATAACCAATCTTTTTAAGTTATTTTGAGAATATGTTGTAACATAATACTTTTAAGGTGGTTGATTTTTCAAATAATTAATTATACCAACTTTTCATGGCAAATACTCACTTTCCTTGAGAAATTACATAAAAGAAACACTATAACATGCAATAATAAACATTTTAAATCCTTTTTTATTACTTTTAACTTTGTTTGAATAACTAATGTTTAAAGATATTCTATATGAACATATTTTTTAAAAAGAAATAAGAAATAAGAACAAATTTATAAAAATAATGACTTATAAATGGGGAAACATAATTTCTCAATTAAATCCTTATTTATGCATTAAGTTATACAACTTACCGAATTAAATTATATCCAAATTCAGTTCAGCAATTTATAAAGGAAAACCACTATACAAAAAATAAAAAATAAATAAATAAAATAAAATAAAAAAAACATATAAGGTGGTTTCTTGCATTTGAATATTTATATATTTGTTAGAAGTAGATTCTTTTTTTAAACCCTAATATTTCTTGGAGTTCCACAAAAAACAATTCAAATCCAGGATTCTCTTCATAAATAAAAGTATAAAGCCAACAACAATGTGCAAATTACCTATGATTGCTCCGGTAAAAACGTCTGTCCAGTGATGCCAATAGTCATCCACACGACTCACTCCAACAAGTGCAGCGAAAAGATATGGAGACACAACGATACAGAGGTTTGCAGCATGACCTTTGTTATCAAAGGCTCTAAGTTTTCCACATAAATACCAAGAAAGGAAGCCAAGACCCGCAAAGGACCCTGCATTCTTTTTTATTAGCTATATATGTTCTTTATTTCATAAAATCTATATCAAGCTCAAAGAAAAAAATAACAAGTCAAGATTATTTATACATGAAGTGTGCCCGCTAGGAAAGCTCTTATACCCTTCCTTAATTATCATTTTATCTCCATGGCATTTAACATCTCCATCCTCGCCGAACTCCTACACATGTCATGCATGAATCAGAATTTTAATGTTATACTCGTTATTTCGTTGTAAATGATCGAGCATTAATGTGTTCGTAAAAAAATATAATAAAAAAGAAAGTGCAACTTTCATACCGCTCTACCATCAGGAAAACACCTATAGAAGAAATTTGGTCGTGGTCTACCCGTGGCATCTTTTATCGAGTCAGTGATGACTGCGGTTATCAGAACTGAGTAGAAAAGACCTAAACTTCCACAAGCAGATATCATGTTATTACTTTTTTTACTAACAGGATCTAACAAATGTGACAATTTTTGGGTCGATTTGGATCATATTCTATCTCAAACATGTCAAAATAATTGGTGAATTTTAATGTTGTAGCTAAAAATTAAGAAAATAGGTCACCAAAATGTATTAACATACTTACAATTACCTGGTAAATTCTTTTTATTAAACCATAGTTCATTATCTTTATTATAAAAATTTATAGACATATTTAATATATCGATGGGTCCATTTTGGATCATATTAATTGAAAAGACAAAGAAAGGTAAAAGACTCACCAAGGACAGCATGGTGTAGATCATAGACATCTCTTCTACGCATGTAATACATGAGGAATACCATACATGGTAATACTCCTACATATAACTATAAATCGAAACAGCATCAAGCTCATTGTTATTTTTGTATACACAAAATTACATTCAAGTAAACGACATTCTCTTTCGTTAAAATAACAAACTAAAACATACCGGAACTGCATACATAGGAATGGTATCCTTTTGGTAAAATGGATATTTCATATCGGTCATCATTTCTTCCCCGACATAACGATGGAAAGGTTCGATAAGGTTTAGGAACAATTCGAGTGATACTAAGAGCAAAAGGACCAACCAATCATGCATATGCTCTCTTGCGAGTTCTTTGCCATGGGACTGAACAGTGTGAGCTCCATTACCCGTCTGACTCTCTGACATAATTACGACTTTAACCTATATCCAACATAAACTTCTGTCATTAAGATGTTACACATGCATCATGCATGGGCGGAGCTTTATTAGGGCCTGGCCCCCTCATTTTTTTTTGTTACAAATAGCCCTGTACTTTCATTTAATACATATTAGACAAAAAAATATAAATTTTTGACTGTGGCCCCCATTCTCCGATTTTTATACTTATTATATTTTCGGCCCCCAAATAATATGTTGAAGCTCCGCCCGCATCATGCATGTAGCAGAAACATGAATCTCACGTTGTGTTTAAAAAACAACAAAATGATACTGTTTTGTAATAATGGGAATCACGTAAATAGTTATGTATGCACCTACAGTTTCCTCTTTTATTAACAAACAAACATATACACGATGGGTTCGTGGATGTGGTTGCCCTCTCACCAACTTTTTATATTAATATAATTACTTAGAAAAAGTTGGTATAATATTCTAGAGGGAATTTTATATACATATATACCTTTAGATAAAGGGATAAAAGCCAAGAGAGTTCAGCGGGGTAGGGGAGGGGGGCTCATAGAATGAGGGCAGTGTCCTGGTGGAGATGGTTTTTGTTACAGAATACGGAGTTTAAGAAATGAATGTGGAAGAGACTTGTACATTTGTAATTTCCAATTATGGGTACTTGGTTCTACAACAAATTCGGATATAACATTCCTTCTATTGATTTTCTAAGGTCATAATTCCAATACAATTCCTTGCACTGCGCTCATGTTTGAATCTGTTTGGGTGGTTCTCCATTGTTTGCTCACCATTCTATGATTCTATCATAAAATGAACCGAAGTAGCACGGAGTTAACTCAACATTGTCCTTAAATCTCCTACCAAGAAGAAAAAAGTTGTTGATATGAAACTGAAATTACCAGTAACGTTTATCAACAAAACTGATGAAGCAATTATCGTGCTTTTTATTATTTTTATAATTGTGTGTTTGGTAAAAACTAATGATTTGATAATTATACATTTGTACTCTTGCATTATATCAACTATAATGTTTTGTCTAATTTTGGTTGAATAAATTCCCACAAATTGTGAGTCTGAGATAATTGGCCAATAGAAAATATAATTTGACTAAAACATTTAGATCTCAAAACTATTATTGATGGTTTATATCATTGTTGTCAAAATGACCTATCTTGACGATCCTACCATCAAACAATAATCATGATTACAACATGATCGATTTAGGGGTAAAATCGGTATAAGACTCTAGGATCCCAATGCAGGGTATCATTTACTTTATAGTTTATGAACTTAATTAAGCATGTGACTTCTATTTTGGATTAATACCATTTCTTTTTACTTCATGTTTCCATGACTGTGGAAAAGGATGGTTTTATGTTTTAAGACAATGTGTTTTTGTTGGATTAGGTGTCTAAGCCCCCATAACTATTTTGGTATGTACTTGACCCGGTTATGAGCATGGTCCTTTTGGGTTGCCTTCACCATAGCAACTGATAGGATTAATTGAGGAGAAAGATGATTAATTATGATTTATTAATATATTATAAGAATAATATATTAAAAGAGAAATCATATTGTTTAATTAATATTTGTCAAGAATTAATTTATAATTAATTTTGTGTGTTCAAAAGAGATTAATTAAATAAAGGGGACTGATACTGTAATTATAAGATAGTTACAAAGTTGGGCTTATGATCCATAAGGAAGCAATGGACGAATTTTATATGGGAGTCCATATAGAAATCGTCCAAAGGGCCTTCTGGAAGGATCTTTGGGCTGCTTAAGGACTAAGCAATTGGATTAGGGTTTCCAAGTTGAAAACCCTAGAAGCCTCAACTATATAAGGACCCCATAAGGCTCCCAAAAACGTGGCTAACACTTCTAAGAGAACCCTAGACGTTTTTGGTGCCTCCTCCTCCCTCTCCTAAGTCCTCTTGTTGCTAGTGGTGTTTGTGACTCCATTAGAGGTACAAAATTTGAGGCACTAAGCTTTCAAAGGTCAAGGATATTCAAGGAGAACTTGTTATTACTACATAACAAGAAAGGTAAGATCTAAACCCTAGTTTATATGTCAATTTGATTGTTGTATGCTAGTTCTTAGGATCATTGCTTTGGTATTCAATGTTGTTATGTTCATAGTAGAAAACCTAGATCAAAGCAATTAGGGTTGCATGAACACCATAGGAATGATGTTATGCTCATAACTCATCAGTGGTATCAGAGCCTAGGTCGTTTTTCTAGTGAATAGATGCAAAAGTGAATTGCCAAAGTTCAAGAAAATCGATTTTTTTGCCTTCTGACTGGCTGACTCGTCGGGTCCATGTATGGACTCGACGAGTAGGTCCTACTCGATGAGTTCCATAGTGGACTCGACGAGTCCAAGGGTCTGGTGCCGGGAATTTCGATTTTCTTACCAAATTTTGTTAAGGATTACTTCCAAAACTCGTTTTTCTTGCCTAAATTCGATTTTTTTAAGTTTGGTATGGTTATCCTTATCAAAATTAGTGGATTTGGTTAAATATGGATAATATAGGATTATTATGAGTCAAATATTTGACCTAGTTATTTAGAAAAGTTTCTAATTACACCCCTTAAGTTTTATAGTTTAAATTTGAACTTAATAGTTTGAGTTTTTGAAATTTAAATAGTTAAACCTTAATCTTTTGAAATGTTTCAAAACTTGTCATCAAGTTTTGGAATTTAAAATTTAATTCAAAATGTATTAATTTTGAAATATTAAATTCTAAAACCCTAGTATTTTGAAAAGTTCAAATTACACCCTTATGGTTTTATTAAGTTAATTAAGTGTTTAATTAAAAGAGATAATTAATAAATCCATAATTATATGGTTTAAGTTAATCAAATTAAAAGTCTAATTTATTAATAGATTGAACCACATAGTATTTTAAAAGTGTAAAATGCATCCTTATACTATATATAATTAAAAGTTTAATATTATATATGTATAAGTAAAATGGCAGTCTTACCGTTAGTAGGCCTCATTCACGAAGCTGGTCTATAAGGGGTGTTTAAGGAAATTGCCTATAAAATGGCGATTGAATGGGTATCCACTCTTACCCACCGCACTCTTGACTAGTGGATGGTCGTTAGCCGAACGGGTAGGATAGGACACAACCATCCATTATAAGTATAATGAAATACGAAGTAACTGAACACTTTTACAAATTCTCAAATCTTAGTTACTTTAGGAATAATGTGGAGTTGGTGCTAATCCATGAAATTGCACATTGCACCTTGTTGGTCGTTAGTGGAGCATGTGTGGTTAACCGATACACTAATATTGAACCAATGAAGGATGGAAATGGGTAGCTCGTGGATTATCATAGATCAATGGAGCGTGTGTGGTTAACCGGCACATTGATTAGGTGATGGACATCTTCGAGAGTACCAAGCTAATTTTCATGCTTATCCACACCTTGTTTGTGATCCTCGGCATCCCAGTCACAAACTTGAAGGGCATAATCGAGATTAAACATGCCATTGAAAAGTTCAATGAATCTCAAAAGATCTAGGAGTTTCAATTCATTTAAAACCTATTTTTTATTTTCATTTTTCATGGTGGAAATTGGTAAATCGTCATTTACCTACCTTCAAATATTCTGCAGTTGGATTACGGCATCCCTCTTCCGAGCTGTAGAATATTTTGTTGGATCCTAGCCTTGATATTTCATTTGGGTGCTATATCAAGGATTCTTATCAACTAAATTGATTTTTTCTCCCGTTTTGTAGATGTCAAAATCTAACAACTATGGTCTTCCCAAATCCTTTGGAAAAAGTTTTCCACATGAAGATGATGTTCCACGATTGGATTGTGGAAAGGCAAAATCATGCTTCACTTCCTCCACCTCCTCCTATTATTCTCCCTGACCCACATGTTCGAAGGCTTGAAAAGTTCAAGATCACTCAAGCCCTATTGGCAAAAAACACGAAGATGGAAAGTATGTATGTGCTCATGTCTTGGATATAAAGTTGCATATTGATAAGTTGGGAATGTTGGGTGTCGAAGTATCTGGGAAGCTGGCTATTGACTTGGTTCTTCAATCACTTCCTGACTCATATAGTGAGTTCATTAGAGAGTACTATATGATGGACCACGACGTGACCCTCATTGATTTGACTTATTTGCTTATTGCTGCTGAATCAGCAATGATTTGTCGCACTGGTCAAGCAAATTTGTCTGGTAGATCAACCTCCCAAACTTCCATGGACATTCTTCTCTTCCCAATGGAAAGGGATCAGCCAAGGTCAAACCGTTTGACCGGATGGTAAAGAGAAAGGCTGAATCTGAGATTGTCCCGTGTGTTGTTCCAAAAGAGTCCATTTGTTTCTACTGCCAAGAGAAGGGGCATTGGATGCGAAGCTTCCATATTTACCTGAAAGATCATGAGGATGTGAGAGTCAAGATGTATGACTCTGCTTCAGGTAAGATTGCATTTCGATGTTTTGTAGGATCAAAGAAAGGAAAGGAAACTTAAAGGAAGAAGTGAGATGAGTCTGATCACGAAGAAATGGATTTCGATCGCATGGTTCGAAGATCGGATTTTTAAGCTACTACTTTAGAGTTAGGATAGATTTCTTAGGAATATGTAATAGCATAGTTTTCATTTGGATTTGCATTCTAAGGACAAGTTTTTCCGCACCTTTTATAAATAAAATAAATTTTGATTTTGTCTTATTTATATCTCCTTGCAATGTTATTTGTGAAAATTGATTTTTGTATGTTTCTATTATAAGCAATTATAGTGGATGTGATTCTTAGTTATGTTATTTGTGGTAGTGTCATAATTTTCTAAGTAAGGAAAGATTCTCATCGCCCAAGTTTCAATTGGACAGAAGCTTGGAATCATATGATTTGAGTCATGTGATGTATGGAAATCCTGGTACTTTGGAAAAATTAAGACTATTTCCTTGTTCTCACAAGCATGAGAGTCAAGTGAAGGACTAATGGATCTAGTACACAATGTTGTGCACTGGTCAGATCCACCACAAAGAATGATAAGACTATTCGTCATGATTTGCTAAAAGTTTAGTAAATATGGTTATGCTTAAAAGATTAAGTATGATTCTGAATCATTGGAAAAGTTTCAAAGAATAGCAGAACGAATAAGAAAAATCAATTAGGCAGAAAGATAAAAGTTTCTCCAATTTAAAAAGATGGGAGAGTACTTAAGTATCGTGTTTTTATGATTTACTTAGTGATTATGAAACTGTGTCACAATTGATCTTCTAAGGACACCTTAGTACACTAGTATGGCTAAGAAGAGGAATCAGCAATTGTTGAAATGGTTAAATCAAAAGGTGAATCATACTTCGTTCCAAAATCCAGTCTTAGAGTCATACTCTAAGATTGTGACTTGGGTGACACATCTTAAGAAGTTTTAACACACTCATCAAATGTGGAGTAGAAAAATGTTTTTCTTACTCTTGTACATTTGAAATTGGTAAGTTGTGATGTCTTGGATAAGACAAAGACCAACTAGGACCAATTGTGTGAGGTGTTTATCTTGATAAGAAACTGAACTAACTCTTGAATACACTACTAGAAAAACAGCCTTTTACGACGCGCAATGTGTGTCGTAAAACGCTCAGACGACGCGCAAATGCGTGTTAAGGAAGGCCCTGTCATAACGAGAGACGACACGCTTTTGCGCGTCGTCTATAGAAGATGTGCATTTACGACGTGCATTTATGACGCGCATTTACGACGCGCAATGTGTATCAAAGAATCCCCTGTCATAAAGGAAGATGACACGCAT